TACTGAAAAAATAGAACAGGGCTATTTATTCCTCGGTAACTGACTGAACATACTGTAATGTCTTACAATGGTAACACTGTAATTCAGCATCACTTAATTTATTTCAACTTTAATTGATCAGAACACTTGAAAGACACGTTAAGAATCACATTAAATGCAGTCATTTGAAAAAAAAAGTACTTTATAATACAAATTCGTTACGTTCCCGCTTAAGACTCTGCCCAAGTATTAAAGAATTACAAACTCAATCACACAGAGGATGAAACCAATTGGGGCACAAAGCATTGACTTTTACAACTGTATTTCTTTTCGAGTATCAACAAACGTGCCTCTTCCTTCTTTCCGTCAATCCAGGCGAAAAGATGCAAGTCTCTCCCTCTCTCTCTCTCCCTCTCTCTCTCTCTCTCTTTCTCTCTCTCTCTCTCTCTCTCTCTCTCTCTCTCTCTCTCTCCTTCTCTCTCTCTCTATATATATATATACACATATATATTTATATATATATATATACACATATATATATATATATATATATATATATATATATATATATATATATATATATATATATATATATATATATATATATAAATGTCTGTCTCTCTCTCTTTCCTTCTCTCCTCTTTTTTTTCTCTCCTCACTCTAAATGTACCCCGCTTCTCCCCAATCTATTTCATACACTTTCTCTCTTTCTCCCTCTCCCCCCTCTCTCTCTCTCTCTCTCTCTCTTCTCTCTCTCTCTCTCTCTCTCTCTCTCTCTCTCTCTCTCTCTCTGTGCGTGTGTGTATGTGTGCGTGTATGTGTGTGTGTGTTTGTGTTTCACGCACACATACACACGTAGACACGTAGACATACACACTCACACTAACAGACACATATAAAAACACACATACTCACAGTTACACATGCACATACACACTGACGCAACACAAACTGTAATAAAACACAAACGTCAACAAACAGCCTCGCAAAAAAGACTTAATCTAGTACAAACAAAAACGGATTTAAAGTTACAATTCTTAATCTCAACCTAAGACAAAAAAGCCCCGTCAGCAGAAGGATGCAAGTAAACATTTTGTTTTTCTCTTTAACCTCGCAGATTCTCAAACGACGTTCCACAGCACAAACTGACGCAATACATAATTATTTTCTAAACTCAACCTTGGACAAAGAGCACTCGTCAGCAGAAAGCTGCCAGTACACATTATGTTTTTCTTTGTTACTGCGCAGATTCTCAAACTGCGTTCTGCAACACAAAATGATGCAACCCTTATTTTCTAGTTTTCCCACGACCTTGGCGTTATGAAAACTTGTTGACTTTACAATACTTTTCATCTCACCCTGTAAACCCGGAGAGTTGCTTCTTTTAAAAAAAAAACTAATTTTCAGAAAAACGGTGTCTCAGAATTTTACAAACATGATAAGGGTCCGTATCCTGCTTCCCGCAAAATATCCTCTTGACGTGGCGCGTTTTATCCTAATTTTCTGTAAACCTAATTTATGTTTTCTGTGCGTGTTATCTTCCAACATTAATTCCCCCATTTTCCATCCCTCCCCCAAAATCTCCCAAGGACCCATCTAAATCTCCAAACAAGAGTGCTAACGTGAAAAGTTCTATTGCAACTGATTTTGTTTTTGTTTTTTGTTTTTGTTAGTTTGGAAAAGTGTCTTACCATTCTTTGTTGTTGACGCTAGCCTATCCTGTTTAAATGGACGACAACTGAGTAGCTCATATATACAGAAGCAGCGACTGTAGGGTAAGTAAGCACATTCTTTTTTAACTCTTTAAGAACGTAGCAGGCACTTATGTCCGATCAGCAACAGACCAGAGGCGATGTTACGTTACATTTTGATCCGTCAGAAGCAGATCAGAAACACATCTGATTATGGCATTGTACATGTATCTATATTCCTGTTTGCCTTTATACCATTCAGAACAGAAAAAGGAAAAAATGTGTATAAATAACGAGGTTACATTTCATTTTTAATCACCCCAAAGCAGTGCGTCTTCAAACATTGTTAAAGACCAGAAAGCAAGTCCTTAATGTATTGAACAAGTACGTGTATCTTTGTTGTTTAAATATCAATCTCAGGAATTGTCTTTAAGCACTTTTGGTGACTTAGGTGAACAAGCCATGTTCCCTCTAACACAGATTGGGAGGTGGCGCCGACTTCCAAAGTAGGAAAGTTTATTTTGTTGGCTCTGAAAAACTAATGTTAAGATAAGTAGGTAGTTTTCCCTGTGTTTAGGGTCACTGTCCTCATTGCATAAAGTATGCACCTTTTACAAATGAGACTTCAGTGAAACATAAAAGTTGAGTAAAAAATCATCAACAAATTTTTTAGATTTGAGTATTTAGAGGTACGTTATAATCTCCATATAAATATTCAAAGGCAAGCTGTAAGTTTTTAACAAAGCTTTAGTTCCAATACAGTGAGAGGTTGTTGATATACTCTGCTACTTCTGAAGAAGGAGTTGTGAGAGAGGACAAATTGTAACTGCACCAGACTTCTTCCTCCATGTTCTGACACAATAATCAACGAGCTTACTGTAGACTTCCCTGTGAAATAACTAATTTGCTTCCTACACCTGAAAAAACAATACAGCTGAGTGTATGCAGGTTATTCATTAGTCGAAATACATGGCAAAACAAAATACAAACCAATTTGCTTTTATACAAATTACAAATGCTATGATATTCAAACCGTAAAAAACGTATAGCACTAAATATTTCATATTTTGATTTCATTTGAAGAGTTAAATAATCACCATGTATGGAAAAAGAAATTTAAAAACTTTTGTAAACTCTACAAACGCTCAATAGAGACTACAAACTTAGATGCTTTTTTAAGTTAGTCTGAAGCCCTATGACAAAGATGTTTGGAAGCAAGTCGTGATCCTCTAAATTTAACACAAAGAATGTTATCAAACCCAAAGAATAATGTGTGTATTATAATACATGTACATTGTTAACCCTATGTAAGGTCCTGGTATTACCGCCCTTGGAACTGACCTGTCTGCCAGGTGAACACACTTTCTGCCTTTGAGTTTTTTACTTCCTCCAATGGTGATGGGAATCATTAATTTCTTTTTTTATTATTTGCCTTTTTAGGGGGCCTTATTTTTACAATTTTAATATAATTTTAGATAATACAAGGTTTCTTGACCTCAAGTAATGCCTCATTATCATCCTCATCATCATTATCATCATCATCATTATCATCATCGTCATCATCATCATCATCATCATCATCATCATCATCATCATCATCATCATCATCATCATCATCATCATCATCATCATCCAAATCATCATCATCATCCAAATCATCATCATCATTATTATTATTATTTATTTGTAATTTTTATTATTATTTTATTATTATAATTATTGTTATTATTGTTATTATTATTATTATTATTATTATTATTATTATTATTATTATTATTATTATTATTATTAATTTTTTTAAAATTATTATTATTATTATTAGTGGTGTGGCGGCAGTAGTAGTAGTAGTAGTCTTATTATTACTAATACTAGTATTATCATTAACAATGTTCATTCTTCTTTTTCTTCACCTCCTTTTTCCTCTTCTTCTTCTTCTTCTTCTTCTTCTTCTTCTTCTTCTTCTTCTTCTTCTTCTTCTTCTTCTTCTTCTTCTTCTTCTTCTTCTTCTTCTTCTTCTTCTTTTTCTTCTTCTTCTTCTTCTTCTTCTTCTTCTTCTTCTTCTTCTTCTTCTTCTTCTTCTTCTTCTTCTTCTTCTTCTTCTTCTTCTTCTTCTTCTTCTTCTTCTTCTTCTTCTTCTTCTTCTTCTTCTTCTTCTTCTTCTTCTGCATTTCAGATGGTGCTCTCGTAGTCTAGAGTTTACAGTGTTTGCATCTCATTCAATAGCTCCCGGGTTCGAAACCCGACAACCACAGAACATTCTCTTCTCGAAATGTTCTCCTTTCACCTGTTCTCCTGCTCTCTAACCATGTTCTAACACTAACGTCTCCTCTTTCTGCCCTGACCCCTTTTTTCCACCTCCTGACTCTTTCTGCATCCTTTCTACTGCTACCCTTCATCTCCTTCTTACTGATGTCTTTTAGCCGCAACCCCTGATCTTAGGGTAGTTAAGATCTAACACCTAACCTTCTCGGATAAGGGCAAACAATCTCGAAGGTCCCGCATGCAAGATGTGCACGTTAAAGATACCTGAGTGGTTCAAAATCTATATAGTAGAGTTTGGCCTCCACTAGGGCAAAATTCTAAATTAATTCCTGACAAACCGAAAATGTTTAAAGTGTGTCGTTCAGGTGTTTAGTGTAACATTTGTAAGTTCCCAAAAATGACTTCAGCTAAACTATGGAATAGGTCACAATGATAACATTTTACAGTTATACTCGTTTGATCAATAGTCTGGCCTATTCCATTTTTGTCCGCTCATACAGTTTTAAAACGTTAAAACAGCTGTAACCACTTACTAGTAGTAGTATTACAAACAGTTGTACATGGAAAGGGAGGCAATAGTCTATATGGACACTTGTAAAAATGAATTATTTGTCCTCACAATTTTTGAATTGATAAATGCAGTTTGCACTTTAGATGTTCAAACCAAGGCAAGAAATGTGTCTGTTTGAAGTCCAGAAAGTTTGTCTTTCGAAAAAAGGCTAAAGAATAATATATCCTTCAATGCCTTAAGCACAAACCGGTTTCTTTTTAAAAATTCCATTGTATCGTCATTATATATCTTTCTTGCTTTGTTAAATTTATCGTCCTCTTGCTGTTAAATTGTTTTAAGCCCTTTTTAAGAACTTTTTTTCCCAGGAGAAAGAGATAACGGTCTCATTCTTTTAACAATTAGACGTACAATTTTTATTAAATATAATAAATATTTCTGGATCACATGCAATCTCTACCAGAGATTAAGAAAATGGAATTAAAGTTAAATGGCTTGTTAATTCTAAACTCTAATTTATGTTTTCCTGGTTAAATGTTTTGTCTCAATATTTCCTGTAGACTTCCCGGAAAAAGTACGTGAAGATCTTTGTGAACAGAATAACCAGCAGTACAAGTAACATGGACGCCACCTGGATATTTACCAACATTATTCTGGTAGCAGCCCTGATAATGTGTTCAAAAGCATGGCGTCTCAATGTTACGTCAGAAGAAATCGAAATCGGTAAGACAGCACAAGTTTCTCTGAACTGCTACAACCCCTATCAGCAGCCTGACATTTCGGAAATCCTGTTGATGAGAATCCAGAAAAAACATTTGAGCGGATGGTCCAGTGTTGCTGAACTTCGCGACGATGATGTGGACGTCAGACTAACAGCTAAAGATGTGACTGCTACGGGCAGCATTGTCTCCGGGGCTAACAGCTATATGCGGCTTTCTTGGCCACTGGCAACTAACGATACAATCGGTGTGTACCGTTGTGACGTCACTATTTTGAATTCCCACGGCAGTGTCGGGTGGCAGAAAAGCCCACCGACTTCCATCACTCGTAAGAGTGACGTCACTGTTCAGATCCTGAGTGAAATGGTAGAAGAGAACAAGAGACAGTGTATGCAACAAAAACACGATATCCAGAAATACGTAGCAGCAGCCTTAGAGGAGAACCAAAAAAATAGTATTAAGGAAAAACAAGACGTTCTCCAGAACATGACGGCAACTCTGAAGGCGCTTGAAGCGAGTTTTGAGAGCAAGCTGGAAAGCCAGATAGAGGTGAGTATCTCATTCCAAATATTGAAGAAGAACTGACATGTAACCATTTACATATAGCACCTAGAACAGAGAGATTTGGAGTTTTCAAAATAATCTACTTTCTTTTTTTTTCTTTATCTTGTTCTATTATGCTTATTTATTCATGTATTTATTAATATTCAGCGGCTTATGTTATTCTTTAACAGGATATTTTAATGAGAGCCAGGAGGGGGGAAGGGGGGGGGGCAAGAGACATGCAGAAGAATGAAAGTATTGAATACTGAACTCCATTAAAAAATATTACCCTTTGTTTGCATAGACTATTCAAATGTGTATCAAATAAAGATAAATTAAAAGGAGTGTTCAATGAAGTTGATTCATTTTCCTTGCCGTATGAACCTTTTCGAGAACATAATATTTTAACTAATTTTGATTAATGGTCTTCAATCTTTTGAAGTACTCCTTTAGAAAAATAAGCGGCTCAGTCCAAAATCAAAACGTACTAAAAAATCTCTCATTATCAGTAGCATGCATGCAGATCAAGACATATCTGCAAATAGATCTTATAATATTTCAAATGTCTTGTTGAGAATTGTGTTCATCTTTGGCGTCAGCGTACGTCAAATTGCTGCCGATTCGCCGAAAGTCTTTTCCTCGCACTTTATGGTTCAAATCATTCCAATTCTGCTCTGTTGGAGATATGTTTGGCAAGAATGTTGGTCAGTCCATGACGTTCATTTTATGACCTTCCAGAAAGAGAAACTGTGCTGTTTGTTTAATCAAACACATTTTAGTAAAGCATAGTTTACTGTATTATGATGAAACATACTTTTTTTAATAATAAAGATCGTGTATGGGTGTGTGGACTATACAACAAGCGTCTGTCTCCGCGTGTTTATCTACATTATACAAAAGTGGGCTTGGGAGGCTTTGTGCACACCTTTGTAACTTTGCAGGTGTTCACAGAATCCATATGACATGGACCTAGCTTTAAAAAATCCACGCAAACTGCTTTCCCCGATTTTTCCAAAAAGCTTAGTTTCGTCCACAAAGAGTTTTAATCTTGGGAAGGTCCGTCTTCTAAGACGCCATTGTAAACAAGTGATGTTTCCGTTCACTGGCCGTGTGCACTGTTTGCACACCTTAAAAATTCTGGAGTGCGCAACCACGAAAGCGGAATAGAAAATCAATCTCTACATTTTCTATTAGATCTATATATTTGGCAAATTGAAAACACATGTGTCACTTTTCCCTCAAAATGTATAGCTCCATTCCAGTAGAGTGTAAAAATAGTTGGCCAATGACTTTCAATTGATGTTAATGGACCGACTATTCCTTTCATCGGAAGGGGGCCCAGCTAGTATATTTATTATATTGACATTCTGTTAGACGTGTAGAACAATCCAGTAATTTAAAAACTCGTATTATTATTATGAGTAATATTTTTGTATTATCATTATTTCTATTATCATGACTATTTTTTTTATAAATTATTATTATGATTATGATTATTATTATTATTATTATTATTATTATTATTATTATTATTATTATTATTATTATTATTATTATTATTATTATTATTATTATTATATGTATTACTATTACATGTGTATAATTATTATTATTATTATTATTATTATTATTATTATTATTATTATTATTATTATTATTATTATTATTATTATTATTATTATTATTATGTCGTCACTTTGCAGACCCTGAGCCACACAGTGGAACTATACAAAAGAGAATGTCCTCACCAACTGCTATCCCACAAACGCCAGATTTTGGAGAACGTGGCCGCTGCCTTGGACAGGAACAGGAAAGAGGGTCTTCAACAGAGCCAAGACCTCCTGGTTAACGCGACTTCCATCATGGAGGATCTCGAAGCCAGTTTTGAGCGCAAGTTGAGCGTTGTCAAAAGTCAGTTACGGGTAAGAACTTTTCTTTGTTTTGAGCTCCAATCTTCTTCTATCCCTTGGTTGGGGCAACCGTGGGGGCACCACTGAATCTGAAAACTAGCTCTCGACTTCTATCTTTGTCCTCTGCTTTCCTCCGATGGCCACCCATCGTCTTTCCTGTCCACTCTGTAATGTTGTCCTCCCATCTTCTTCTCTGCCTTCTTCTCTTTCACCTTCCTTGTACGGCTCCTTGTAGGATTGTTTTGGCAAATCCTGTGGATCTTGTGACATGCCCATACCATTTTGATTTTCGTCTCTTCACCGTGGTCAATAGATCTTCATGCTACCCCACAGCGTTGGTGATTCTCGTTCGTTCCTCAGCATTTGAAACGTGGTCTTTGTACGAGATGTCAAGGAGTCTGCGGAAACATCTCATCTCTGTGGTCTGAATTTTTTGTCTAATTCTGCTGTCAATTCAGCTCCAATACTGATGGGTAAATTTTCTCCCAGAAGTGGTTAAATTCATATGGAAGTGAAGCAATAGTGTGTACTGGATCCTTGATTGGCGGAGTGCGCGATAAAGTGATTGATGGATAATGCGATAAACTGGATGCTGTAGAATGTGTTAAATTGGCTTAATGGCTTGGTGGTAAAATGTCTGATTAACAGATAAATGGATAAATTTAGAAACTAACTGCCTAGTTGACTTCCATTGCTTCTATATGTCCTAAATTCTCTCGGAGTATTTCACTACCATGTAGCTGTTGAACCTATTCACGTAGTCATTTCCAATAGCCGTCCACAAAACTCCCTCTCTCTTTATTACTCTTCAGCCCCAGTCGTGCGCCAGTGCTAAGGGTTTGGGTCCTCGGCCGGTGGTCCGTCTCTTTAGTGGTCAACTTGTAGTCTGTGACATGGTGACGGACCAAGGAGGCTGGATCGTGATACAGGTGAGTACAGACTCCAGCAGTACAGGTGCGATCAACATTATTTTACAGTAATTCAGACTGATATAATACAGGGCAGATGAACATTATCGTATAGTAATACATCCTGATTCACTACAGATAAATCAACTTTATCTTATTGTAGTAACAATACACTATGTTTTAGTGCCGGTCAAACTAATGACATTTTACTGCAAAATACATTGATATAATACAGGTAAGATATTGTAATGCAAGCTTGCACAATACAGTTATGGTCATCATAATTTTACGTTTCTCTGGTTGTTACAATTACGGGTGAGATTACCTTTATTTTGGTGGAATACAAGCTGATACAATACAAGTGATAACACCATTGTTTTACTACTCAGTGACTCCCCAAGTTGGGAAACTAAATCTCTGTGCAGTATAGTAATATAAAAACATAAGTACACTTATGGTTATAGTTTTTGCTACTCAATAAACAAAGCATAGAAAGTGTAAAGGGAAAAATTCCAAGGTACAACAGTTTTCAAATACGTCTGTCAGCTAGAGTTGGGGCGAGCGGACGGACGGGTTAGTTACTCGCGGACTCAGTCAGAGCGAACAGGTAACGGACGGCCATGAGAGCGAACTGCGAACCTCAAGTTCGTTTTTTTGGGTCCGCTCCACAATTTGACTCTCTCAGCGAGAGGACCGCGGACCTCAAGCCTCAAGTCAGTTCGTTTTTTGGGTCCGCTCCACAATTTTATTCACTGGGCGGGCGGGCGAACGGACGAACTCTAGCAGACGAGATACTCGACGCGAGATTAGACCCGTCGTCTATTGTTTGTTAATTAGGCCTGATGTTTTAAACCACTAGCGGTGCCACAGGGAGTGAGAGAGGTTGGTGACGTAGTACTATGTGTGTAACCTTTCACCTCGTGCGCGGGGCACACTGTGTACGTTCCAATTATCTCAAAGGCCGGGGGGGGAGGGGGGAGATTTCCGCCAGGAACGCCTAGCTACAATGTGAGAATGGAAGGAGTCGTTCCCGTCCGTCCGTCCGCCCGCTCGAATGCATGGAGTCTCTCAGTCCGCCCGTCCGCTGGCTCGCTAAACGAACTGTTGTCTCTGCGCGATGTGTAGCGAGTAGCGAGTAGCGAACTACTCTTCACAAACGGACGGTTCGTTACCCGTCCGCTCGTTTGCGGGTAGTGCCAACGAGTAGTTCGTCACTCGCAGACGCTAATTTTGCGACCCAACCCTACTTTCAGGTCAGCTCACAGTGCTGTCATGAGATATTACGGGTAACGTTATATTAACTATTTTTGTTTTAGGAGTCAAAAGCTTAACATCGTTATTCAAACAAGGTAACTTCGTACGCTTCGTGATATTAGACCTTAGAAACTGACGGAATGTTCTGCTATGTCTACAGAGACGCGCTTCGGCGGAAGTTGATTTTTTCCGTGGTTGGGCGGACTATAAGTATGGATTTGGTGACCTCTCTGGCAATTTCTGGCTCGGACTAGAGAAAATCCACCAGCTAACAAGTCAGGCAAGTTGTTTAGAACTAAATACAGTGGACTGTCCAAACAGGTGACGGCACGGGCACTTTGTTGTCTATGTCGATGTACGTGTTGTTGTTATTGCTCCTCGTGATGTTAGGTTACTTTCGGAAAGACTCAATGTTTTCATTCTTCTTAAAATGGTAATAGTATTAAATTGTCCAAGTATACGTTTCCGAACTTTTCTTCACCATCCTATTTTGCTGGTTTCTTTTTCAAAGTTTTCGTCTCCACCCGATTTTGCTTGTTATTTCGGATATAGACGTAACAACGGAACTTCTTCCTCTAAATTACCAGACTGTATTCTGAACGGGTATTAAATCCATATTTTGTAGTTGTAGACGTGGTGATGTGGGTAGAGAAGGTTTTTATGGTTGTAGTCACGGTAGGGATAAACGCCAAATGTTTTATGTTTTGGCGGGGGAAGCAGGAGCAATTCTTTTAGGTGGTGTCTTTCAATTTCATTGTTGTTGGTGATGTTTTTAAAATGTCATTGTGATATTTTAATGTCATTGTTGTTGTTGATGTTTTTTTATGTCATTGTTATAGGTGGTATCTTTTATATCATTGTTATTGTTATGCCATTGTTATTATTTATATTTTTAATGTCATTGTTAATGGTGATACTTTTAATGTCACTGTTTATGGTGATATTTTTAATGTGATATATTTAATGCCATTGTCACTGGTTATGTTCTTTCGGGACTTCGTTCTTAATGATGTTGTTCGTTAGCTGTTGCTCCTTTTGTTGTTGCTGTTGTTGTCGTTAGTGTTTTTGTTGTTATTGTTCAGCTGCTGCCTCTGTTCTCGTTTAACGCGTACCTATGTCATTTCTTATTTTCCGGGACAGGGTAAGTATTCATTGTTGCCACAATTTAGGTCCACCTCATACTTCCATCGCTCATAGATTGCCGGCTGTTTAATATTCCGTATTCTTATATAAATATAATCCATTTCCTTATTTTGACACGAGATTTCTTATCGATGTTTTGTATTCCTCATGTATTATTTGTAATTATACTGTCCTATTATGAGGGTGCAGTGGCAAAGCGGTTAGTGCACTCGTCCCGAAGCAGAAGTACTGGTTCGAGCATCGGTTAGGACACGGACTTTTTTCGCCCCCTCCTGCCTACCCAGCAGTAATGGGTACCTGACTTCGATTTGGGGAAGTAAAGGCGGCGTGGAAAGGAACTGGCCACCCTACCACAATAGCCGAAGGTCCAGGAGGTTGTCTCACTAACAAGGCAATCCCCAATGTCCGGATCGGATGCGGGAACAACTTTACTTTACTGTCCTATTGACACATTTTAGGACAGACCTAAACCAGAAAAAGTGGTCCCCCTCCAGGACACCCAGCAGAGGGGAAATCTTTGGGAGAACCAATATTTAAACCTGACACAGACTTGAGCGTGTTATAGCCTTGTCAAAGTTAAGTTCATGTACAAATGAGACATTGCCCCAGGATTTTACTTGTGCTAAAACGATGTGTATCTGCAGGTTGTTATAATTGTCCTCATGTTCTCATCTCCAGGGGAGATACGAACTAAGGTTCGATTTGAGATTCCAGGGGAAAAACTACTACGCCAGCTACGACAACTTTTCGCTCTCTGGTGAAACAGAAAATTACAAAATTCAATTTTCCGGATTTTCGGGTAATGTAACTGAGGACAGTATGGCTTATCACAATGGAGAGCAGTTCTCATCCAAGGACCGTGACAACGACTCATGGAGTGGCATGAACTGTGCCAACGCCAACCACGGGGCTTGGTGGTACAGGAAGTGCCATCGAGTGAACCTTAACGGATTGTGGGGCAGTACAGTAGGCTCAAAAGGCTTGAGATGGCGTAGCGTAACCCATGGTTCTGTCTCCTTCAGCGAAATGAAGATTCGACCATTTGTTTAGTGACAGCTTCATACCACTAAATCCTCCGTCTATAAATGATGTGTGTAGATGTTTGCGACTCTTTCTGTTTGATGTGTAAAGAAACACAGCAATAGAAAACCTTCACAATCTCAGAGATTTGAAAGCTCAGTTGTTCTGTTGTCTCACGTTATGAGATTTATTGATAGACAAGGGAAAACATAACAACTGATAATGGTTTTAAAACAGCATTAATTGTACTTTACAGTATCTTTTTGACCAGAAATTTCTCTATTGCACATTGCAACACATACACACACTATTTGAACACGTGCACAGATAATCCATATTTGCACATTGCACAAATACTCGAACACCTGTTTCATTGAATTGAGAGGGTGAATTTTTTTTTCAAAAGATTTGAGTTGATTCATAGTTTTTGAGTCTTTCATGATTTTTGTTGAGATATTTAAGGTATTAACTTCTTTTTGACAGTAATGTTAAACAAAATTGTACTAAAAAGGAAGTGTACTTCGTAATTTAGGCATTTTTCACATAATAATCGAAAATGGCCATTAAAAATGTGTACAAAATTATTGTTGTTACTTCATAATGTCAGTGGGATGATATTAAAGTTTTCTCAACGTTCAAGATACAACGAAACTTCTTGAACATTCGAGGCACAATTATGTTGTTTGGTTAGAAAGTAGGCCGAACTTATTTATTCATATACAAATGCTTATTGTGGTGAGAAAGTGGGATTGTGTACCAATTTCAAGCAAAAATTAGATTTTAAAAATGCTCTATATTGTAAAAGTCATTATTAAGTTGGTCCTATGTCAGAAAAAAGATTGTTCCAACAAAAAAAAAAAGCAGCCAAGAAAATTCTAACTTTAGTTTTATAATTAAGTTTGAAACTCTACATTGATTGCTCCTATGTGTGCTTTAAAGACCTTGCATTATATGATTAAGTGTTGTCGCATTTTTGCAGTGATACTGCAACTTGATGTCTGTGTACTTATTCAGGCATGTACTGGTTTATGTTTGTAAGATTTATTTCTATCTTCTGAGCTTTGCATGTATGCCAAAAGAGATAATCAAAGAGTATATAATAAAGACGAGCTTATTGTACAATGCGTGTTCTTTATTTTTCCTTTTGTTCTTTTGTCTATAGCTTGTCCAACTCGAAAATATCTCAGATTTGTTTTGTGAACAACGTTAAATTTTATTTACTTTGAGCCATTAAGTTTTTAGATATACAATCCTGTTTTGCCTTTCGAGGAATACGATTTTCATCGTTAAAGGTATATGAAAAAAATGTACGTTTCCTTAACACAAGTAGACTGTTTCTATGTGTCCATCAGAGGTTAAAAATAAACTACTGTACAGTACTCAAATATTTTTCATCAAAGTTTTATTTTAGTTTCTTTGGTTCAAACAAGCCAAACTACCTTCTAAATACATGATAATGATGTAAACGAAAAACTATGCTCAAGCAGTGAGCCATAATACAGATAGAGAAAATAATCAGCTTCATCTTGTATATTTTAGATACGAAGTGTGAAGACATGATACGAGTCACACTATAAGTCACTAATAAATCATTCTTTTTTGACACAAAGAAAAGGAAAAAAACGTAATACCTGTTCCAGAATCATTCGCTTACTGTTAGTTTAGACAAATCGATACATGACTACTGGCAACTGTTTGATAAAAAAGGACGTATGCAGTCTTAAGTTGTCTAAAAAAAAAGATGTATTTGAGTTGGACAAGCTATACGCACACTTTCTCTACGTTTTAGGTTTGTTCTCAGCCCATACTCCAAGTTATTCCACCGTTATGTTATACATTCATAATTGTGTATTATAGTATCCGAACCAGTAGTGCACTCTGATGTACGTACATATAAACCTGCTTGCCCACAAAACTCGATACTCTTAAAGATACTCAGGCAAAACGTCTTATCTGAAATCTAATATAGTAGAAGGGGAAAACAACGGTAGGGAAACCTACCAAGAAACAACGTCGAATAAAACGGGATCGAAACTTTGGAAAGCCACACATTTAATTTGAAGGTGGTTAGTACGTGTGAGGGCTCCTTACGCCACACCCAGACGAAGTGTATAGTTTAACGTCGCCATCATACAAAATACACAACAACGTCCTCCAATTTAAACATGATTTCTTTATACACAACGAGCTTTTTATTCTCCGAACAGCATGGGTTATCTCTATTTTCTGAGCACATCTTACTGATTAATGCCACATTGCCATTAAGTCTCATTTAAACGGAAACAACAAAAACAACTTAAGTTTGTGTTGCCACTGGACTACCGCACATTCTATGATGACTTAAAACGCTAGCAGTCATTTCTTGAAATAGGCCTACAGTTTAACGTAATAGTTTGGTGGGGGGGGGTTAATGGACACAACAGGGCTTTAGGCTTTATTTTGCTTTTATAAAACAATTGGAGATCGTTAACCTCCCTAATAACACAAATTAGATCATTTATTTAGTAGGTGGGCTGCTTTAGCCTTGTCTGTAAAGTCTAACATGAGCTGGTTGAGATGAACACAACGTCCTAACCGGAAGAAGGTTTATACATGTACAAGATTTTTAAAAAAGAGAGAGAAAGCGAGCACCATAACGAGGAGTATTTTCGATGAACTTGCCCCTCTCAGATTTAGAAAATCAAGTTTTAGTTAGAGTTTTACGGCACTTCAAACAGTCAAACGTCACATTATTATAAGAGCCGAAGATCAGATGTGTTACTATAGAGAAACATACAAAGAGGCGAAAGAAGGACAATAGATGTTTGATAGGAAAGAAGGAGCTGCATAGTGGCTAAATATACGTTTGTTCCTTTTGCCTATCATTCTAGAGGGCTAAAAAACAACTTCAGGATTTTCTTTGTAGAAAAAGTTTTCCACAATAAGAGACTCATTTAATAAACAAGGTTCATATTGAATTCAATGTGAGAAGGACTAAGGGGACATTTTGTACAAATTAAAAACCTCTCTTGCAAGCCTCAGATAAGGAGGAAACAATGTCATCACAATCATAGTCCTTCGGAGGACCGGGAAACAGCGACTCTGAAGATAACAATTCATTTTGTTTATAAAGTTATTGAATGATACATTATATCGTTATAAAAATATCAAATTCGGAACCAGCGTATTAACATTAACAATATGAATTGAGGCTAATTCTTTTTCTTGCTGGGATTAGAAGTTAAAAATAAACAAAAACAACTTTCATTAAAATTGCATCAAGCAATATTAAAGTTTTTGTCTAATCTATCAGGCTGGACTTCATAGCGGATAACCAATTTTCGAATCCCAGAGAGGGTGCTTTGAACATGGGTTATTATTTTATTTTTTTTTTAGTTTTTAAAGCTGTCCACCTACATGTATTTGATTCAGTCCTATCGGAGTTGAACGTTAAATTGGGAAGTTTCGCCTCTTAGAAACTAATAGTGTTATAAGGGGCGTTACACTCTTTCACCCATGCACTTACTTTACACTTAAACACAATAACCACACACTGTTTACATATTGACATCTTACGGACAATGGAGAGCAAATCTTCTATAATGATATTGTGTATATCATAGTGAGGGAGTGTGACAGAGCGTTCCGACAACATCTCACAGGGTCAGAGGGGCAGTTTGATCCGTGAAGCCTGACCACACAGCCCAGATCACAAGGCATGTTCTGGGAAGATAATATGTCAGTGGCCATGTTTTCATCGAGATTTGGGATCATAATTTAAGAATACAAAGCATTAATTACACCTAAGACAGAAACACCCATAAAAAAAAATATAGAAATCATGTGAGGTCTACTGTCAGATGATGATACACGAACATAAACAGCTGATCAGTGACAGAGGTGCCTACAAAGATCTGAGAACAGGACGCCAATAACTGACTAAGGGGATCACCTTCCTGCATAAGTACAAGAAGAGTGTGGTCAACATGACATAGGAAAAACAATCCCTCTTATAATAATAAAAGAGTCCTTCTTACAATCCACCCTAGTCACCATTTATCCCCCCTCCAACGCCCTCTCAACCCCGCGCTAGCCCCCCCATCCCAACGCCACACCGGAAATACAAACAATCCTTACCACATGATAATAATTGTATCGCTGTCTATCATTTATTTGTAGCAAACGCCTAAGTGCAGTTATGTTTCCCACAATCCTACAATACATGCGGTATTGTGTATGCGTGTGCGTAACTTAAACAATTAACAGCAACAGTAACAAAAGAAAAAAGAAAAAAATATATATAAAACCCAAAACTGTTAAATAAAACTGAATAAAGTGCTCACTGTGAGGACAATGCTTCACACTCTGTGAAAACGTGTACACAAGTGCTGACTTCAGTTCTTTCCCTCTTCGACATGGCCGCTCAGCGTCCTTAGGTAGTCACAAGCAGCCGTCATTCGTTTAGTGTCCTCTTGCTGTAAGCAGGCAGTTGTAACACATCTCCCAAAGATACAGTCGTTATTCCCGGATCAGTAACAGAACTGACGGTCAATTCAATTTTACAGTTGTTGTTTTTTTCTTTCTAGAAACCTAGAAACGGTTGACCAGTCTCAGTTAAAGGCACGCTTTAAAGTAATTAATCACATATTTTTTTAGAGTAGTGTCTGCCTTCCTACAGAATATTTCACAACACGGAGACAGCACTTTTAAAAAGTCCACAAAGTCATTCTGTGTGAACCCGACGACGATAAAGTGTATGTTCCTCCCTGACTCGACCTCAGTGCTGTGTTTGACACCACAGATCATTCAATCTTGATCAGGAGGTTAGACTAAAGCTTTGGCCAAACTGAGACTCTTCTTGGATGGTTTGAGTCATACTTGTCTGACCGTACACAGTCTGAACTTTGATAACGGTGACATGTTATCCATTTAGAGTCAACGCTTTCCTCATTTCTATCTCAAAACATGAGCTTTTCTTACTACGGTTACCTTCACGTGTCTGTATTATTACCGTATCCCTTATACATGAAAAAACAAGACGTGTATAGGAC